GAAACAGATAGGGTTTATTAACTGTTGATGATGACATGTATAGAATTCTCAACTGGATTGGTCTGAGAAGTGTTTCATGATGGGCAAAGTATTTTTACAAGCAAAACGAGAAATAGCAATTGACTGTTTTATAAAAATAATTAGAATAATAAAGATAATGATTGGGGAAAACAGAAAAGATATGGAATGTTGAAGTGGGGAGATTAATGTCTCTGTACTGACTGACGTGCATGGCATTCCCTTTTGACGAAACAATGTAATACACTGTAAAGTTATATGTAATCCAATGTAATATGAAGAAGATATGATGATAAAAAAAATGTAATAAAGTGAATTTCAGTAATAGGGGAATGGCTTTTGAGTCTCCTGTTACATTTGAAAAATTTAATTATTATTATTTTAAAATTTTTCCTATAGGGCCTGTGTACTTACTGGAGAGAAACAGAAAGAGAGAGATAAAGTGAAAAATGATCCCCTAGAGGGATGTCACAGTCCCTTCTCCTTCATTCTCCTCTTGGGATTTTGGGCATGCACATGCACCTGGTGTGTTTCTCAAGCCGCTGGGTCTGGGACTTGAGCCGTGCAATTAGCCATGTAAGAACTAGTCACCTTAGCCTCCATGCCACCAGCTGGCCCCCGTATAACATTTTATTTTAAAAATGACTTTAAAAATGTCCTTGCAGTGGCATTTACTTAACATTTCTCAAGGGAAACTTTAAATGGCAAAGAATGAGGCCAGAACCAAAATGAAATGGGGCCAAGTCTCACAGCAACAGCCTCATGCCCGATGGTGAACACTACATGGCATGTGCTGCTGTTTCAAGGGCAGCGTCTGGCATCTGTGATGGAGCGGGTTCTGAATGGGGCCATCTGACCGTTTCAGTGACTAAGATACAAGAAACCTGGGGGACAAGTCTGTGCAGCCCAGTGGGTGAGGTGGGTCTGAGGGTGGGTGGATGGGCCTGAATTTAGTGACTTGGTCCCCATGGACCACCCATGACCTGCCCACATCTCTAGGCTTCAGCTTATGTATCTGGAACAGGAAGGTATCATTTCTGCCTTTCTGCTACATCTTTTCTTTCTTTCTTTCTTTCTTTCTTTCTTTCTTTCTTTCTTTCTTTCTTTCTTTCTTTCTTTCTTTCGCTCTCTCTCTCTCTCTCTCTTTCTCTTCTTCCTTCTTTCCTTCCTTCTTTTCTTTCTTTCTTTTTCTTTCTTTTTTAAAAGAGGTTTCTGCCTTAGAAACATGTCCCTGCCAGACAGAGAGACACAGAGACAGTGAGAGAGAAAGTGAGAAATCACAAGAAGCAACGGCCACGCTGCAATCGCTTCTTGTCCATTCTCTTCCTAGGATCCTGGGCATACATGCACATGTACCTGGCATGATTTTCAAGCCACCAAGTCCAGGACTCAAACCATGGTTGGCCATGTGGGAGTCCAGTGACATAACTGCTATGCTGTCTGCTGGCCCCCTGTTCGTTCATTTGTTCTTTCTTCCTTCCTTTCTTTCTTTGTGAGAGATATTTTTGCTCTAGGGTGCACACACTTGCTGAAGATAAAGAGAGACAGAAAGTGAAAAATCACCCCCAAGGTGGGCTGGCCACTCTGCAATCCCTTCTCCTTCATTCTTCTCTCAGGATTTTGGCCCAATTATACTTTGAAGGACCACATTTGTATTCCCAGAGGCCCACAGCTGCAGAAGCCTCCATTTCCTGCAGAATATCTGCCTGAAGTCCCTTATTTAGCTGTTAAGTTTTTCAAACTAGGTTAACAATGATAACATACTGGGGCCAGCAGTTGGCATGGTGGTTAAGGTATTGGACTCTCACAGGGCCAACCATGGTTCAAGTCCTGGACCTGGTGGCGTATTTTCTTAGTTTCTCTCTCTCTCTCAGGTGTGCATATTAGCCTTGTAGCAAACTGAAAAATAATAAAACTGATAAATAAGATAAAATAAATAATTCTTTTGGGGAAAAGAGCAACACCAGTGATCAAGTACTGAGAAAACAGGCTTTTCCAGCCAGCTCAGAGAAACTGGATACCCCTGCCCTCTGCTGCTTTCACTATACCCTTGCCAGAACCATCCAGCAGGATCTAACTGCACAGAAGCTAGAGTATTCTCCCATTTCCCCAGTGTGCTTAAATCCTGCTTTCATCCACTTCACGTTCCAAGTTACTTGGTGTCTCTGGGCTGGCCTTTCTTCATTGTAAAATTGGCTCAGAACCCATTTAGCAGCTAATACAGGGGAAACACAAAAGAAAGAGTAGTGCTTTTGGCTGACTGGCGGCAGTTCTGGCTCTGTTTACTTGTGGGGGATGGAGATTCGATGAGCTTGGTTCTCTGCTGTGTGTCAGTCTGGTTTTGGCAAGCACTCCCTGTAAATTGGCTGATGGGCCCTGAGGAGTCTGATGTGTTGGATTTGACCCATCAAATGAACTTTAGAAAGTTGTAAGAAGTCAAGCCGGCTCTGTGGCATGGTCATTAAAGCATCTGGATCCCACATGGCAGGCCTAGGGATTCGAATCCTGGATGTGGTACCATAAGAAATACACTGGGTATGTGTGTCCAAAATCCCGAAAGGAGAAATGGATTGCAGTAGGACCGTTCCTGATGGGAGGTGCTTTCTCCTCTCTCTGATGAGTGCACACGCCATCTAGCTAACAACAGATGAAGTTGTAAGAAGTACCTGAGAGTCGCTTTAACTTACACAGAAACAGGGAGGTCATCGGACCCCGCAGGACCCCAGCGTTTGCAGTTATAGGTGTCTGTTTGGAGATGAGGGATGAGGTAGCCTGTGGGGTTGGGCTCTGGGGTTTGAGTTAGCAGAAGGGGGCGAGCTCACTTCCACCTCATGGAGTGGGTTGCAGGAGCAGCAGGACACTGAGATCCCAGAGCTTCCTGGTGTCCACATTCACTCAATTCTGAAAGGGCCTAAAATTCAGGAACAAATCCTAAAATGTGGATTGTTATTTGAGGATGGTGCATCTGTCCATGCTGTATAAAAAACGTTTTGTGTCTTCCCTTGTGAATCCTTACTTAGGTGACCCCCTTTATGTGCGTTAGTGTCCCGGGGCTGCTGCCCAACATCTAAGATGCTGTGCTCCACAAGATGGGACCACCTAGGGGGCCTGGGTTTGAGTCCCAGTCCAACCTGAGGGCTGGGTGTGGTGGCACTGCCTGTTGTCCCAGCTGGGAGGCTGAGGTAGGAGGATCATAACATGGCAAGACCCTGTCTTAAAAAAAAAAAAAAAAAAAAAAAAGATGAGTACCTTCTTATTGAGTATGATGTCATTTGGCTTTACAACCGGTGGAAGAATCAAGAAAATGATAGATGATGACCAGACAAGGAAAATAAATTTGAATTAAAGGATAGCCAAAATAAGCTCCTGCAATGGCAGGATTAATTGTGGACCAATCGCTCTTCCTCCTCCATGCCCTCTGTGGAAAGAAATTGAGTATGTCATATGGGGCTCTGACTTGCCTTCCAGTGTTTAAAGGAATGAGTTTAGTAAACCCAGGCATGATAGCCCAATATGGCCTTGCCCATTGTCCACCCCTACAACATGGAAGCATTAGCATCCTCTGATTCTATTTGAGACCGGGTCTCATCTTCATGAGCCACTGACTTAAGTGCTCATGGCAATAGGATCAGTGCCCTCTGGTGGTAGAGTCACTTCATTCCTAGTTTGCTCCCCACAGCGAGTGACTCAGTCCACACTTTCAGGCTCTGGGTCTCTAGTCTCAGTTTTAGTGGCAGTATCACAGCTTTGTGGTTCTGAGACTTTCATGGAAAGAGTCTGCCTAGATCCCAAGGCCTGTGCTGCCTTAGAAGGTCTGGGGCAGTGGCTCCTCTTCTCTATTTCCTGATGTCTGCAAGGTCCCAGGCCACAGCAAGCATGTGGCAATGATGCAGGCCCTCGTTCTGCTGATCTCCCCATGGAGGACAGACATGGCCTTTGAGTCTCCCTCAACCAAGCCACGACCACTCAGTTCCAACAGGCATCATCTCCCAACTTTGACTCCAGGGCCAGCTCTAAGAGTTTGAGCTTCTGGGATTTATTGGAGGGTTTCTTCTGCCTGGAGCTACTGAGCCTGGGAGCCTCATCCTGTATCTTCTCTCACATCCTACAGAAATCAGGGTGAGATGGCCCACACCTGCCGTGGAACCATCAACCTATCCACCGCGCACATCGACACGGAGGACTCTTGTGGTATCCTGCTGATCAGTGGGGCCAGGAGCTACCACCTCAAGGCCAGCTCAGAGGTGGACCGGCAGCAATGGATCACCGCCCTGGAGTTGGCCAAGGCCAAGGCAGCCCGCACGATCAGTACCCAATCAGGTAGTGAGCGCTCAGCATGGCGGGGGTGTGTGTGTGCTATCTTGACTCTGTGGGGAGTGGGAATTGAAAGCATTTGTGCCAGGGGTGTGATCAGGAATCCCAAACTAGTCTAGACCTACCCACAAGGTCAAGGTATGTGTGTGCCTTTCCCACTCAGCTCAGTGTGTCCTTAGCGTGAGTCCTCAGCTGCTCTGCCAAGGCTGTCACAACTGGCTGGCAGATCTCAGGATGGCAATGCTTCCGGTGAGAGGGGTGGTGCAAGCCTTTCTTTGGACACATCTGGACTTCAGCAGACCTGTCAGATGCTCCAGTGGTTGTATCCAGAAGCACAAATCAGGGGTGGGAGACCACGATGGTACACTTGCGTCTTCAGTCAGACTCTTTC